TAAGTATGACTAAACATAACATAGTAATATCGGCATGTGTATGTGGGTATGTTTGTGTATGTTGTTTGCGAGTGTGTGTGTATATTTGTGTGTGAGTGTATGTGTGTGTGTGAGTTTGTGTGTGTGTGTGTTGTGTGAATGTAAGAGTAGAAATAAATGGCAAAGAGATGTAAGTCAATTATATGCAGTTGTTTTTCACCAGGTCACATTCACATCGTCCCGTTCCTATGTTATTTTTCTCATGGAGACATACCATGGATTCATCCCAATCAAAGGAGATGATGTTGTCTTTGTTCGTTTAGTTCGTTGTTGTTGTTGTGTTGGTTTGTTGTTGTTGGTTTGTTGTTGTTGAAAGTTAGTTTGCTGTGGTTAGTTTACTGTTAATAATTCTTCGTTGGTTTGTTCATATGAGTTATTTGTTCTGCTTGTTGTGTTGTTGTTTGTGTGTTTTGTTAATTTTGTTGTTTATGATTTCGATAAATATTTGTCGCAATTTTTTCTCAAGCTGGTTGTTTGTTATAAGTCAGTCTACATATTCATACATAATTTAACCTTTTGCTATGTTTTTATGACGTTTTTCAAACCACAGTAAACACTAAACCTAATTAATGAGATAAATATATAGAACTTTTTATTTATTTTACCTCTTACCAGTTATGCACCTATCTGCCAGTGTATAAGGGGGAAGTATGACATCCCGTGCCAGTGTACGGCCCCAGTGATCGAGAAGTGTGTAGCCTTCAGGCCTGAAATTATTCCCCTCCACTAATCCCACTGGTTTTTGACGGCTGGGATGTTGGCTTTCCGAAACAAACAACCATAAGATGGGGTCATTCATGGCCGAATGTCTAGACTGCCTACAGGAGCCCAGCCTACAATGAAAGCCGTTGTAACTTAGAAGTGAAAGATCGGTTCCACATAAACATTTGTACTCTGAACCAACCTGAAAGCCGAGTCTCAGACATAGTCCGATTCTTATGTCAGAATCAAACAAAAAAAAAAAAACCAGGCGGGTAGCACGCCAGACTCGGTTAAGCAGAGCCAAGAAAGCCTCGTCTGGAGTTGAGACATTCATCTGCTCCACTGAAGAAAGGGAGTGTTTTTAAGAAAGACTTGTTTTATTGTGTTGTCGTTACTGTTTCTTTTGTTTATTTATTTAGTTATTATTATTGATTGTTATAAGGGCTAGAGTTATTGTTCGACAAAATAAAACCTTTGTCGAACACACATACACACAGATACAACACACGACACACACGACACATACAAACATACACAAACAATAAACACGCACACACAAACACACACACACACACACACACACATACACACACTGTTAACTATTATAACTAATAATATTGTCTTAATATAAAGATAGAGATGTTTTTTTTAAACGTTGCTTCAAGGAATGTTAGCTGTTTTCAACTTTTATTGTCTCTTTGTGTTTTAGCCTCAGGTATTTTTATCTAAATAAGTTTGTTTGTTCATATGTATGTATATGTGTTCATATGTATGCATGTATGTACGTATGTATGTATGTATGTGTGTGTGTGGGTGCTAAATTTAACTTAACACTTTCTTGTCAGTTGATTCCCATAAAGGATTTGTCTGGGAAATCGGCATATTTTAACGTGTTGAAAATTTTCAAATTTTTTTTATAAAAAGTAATTTTAATTATAAAAATAATAAAAAATGGAAATTAATAAATGCTTTTTTTAATCTGGGAGATAAATTTAAAACTAAATAGGCGTTAATATTGGTGGTGTGAGACTGAATAATTTTATAAAACCTTTACTTTGGTCGGCCTCTGTACAATTTATTTCCATTGAAATCATCTTTCTTATGAACAAATTCTAGTTTCATTTCGTTTTGTTTCAACAGCCTTAAAAGGTTTTTGGTGATTTTCTTTACGGTTTCCAGGTTTATTTATTGATATTTATTGGGATAATCATTTGCAACTTAATGAATAATAATAAACTCGTGAAATGAAAATAAAATTATTTCAGTAAAGATGTCTTACCATAATTTATTCATTCATTTGTGTGTAGTCAATGTATGTGAATGTATTATGAAAAACATACATGACGAATGAATCTAAACATGTGTATGAGCGTTTGTCTTCGTGCGTGCCTGTATATATAAGCGTGGGGATGGGTGTGTCTGTAGTATTCCACCTCTATGATTTATCTTTTTTAACTTCTTCTCACCAAGCCATGCCACCCGCATGATCTTTAAACTTAATGATCCAGTGTGATTTACACACACCCACACACACGCGCGCGCGCATACAAAGACACACGCATACAGACGCACGTAAAAATTTGTTGCTATGGTAGGTCCTTCCTTATCCCACATTTCTCACAACTTTACTATTCAACACATTTTATGGCTGGTTATGGAAACCGAATTAAATTCAGACTCTCCCGAAAGCCTAACTCTTATTGGGAGTAAAACACACCAAACGATAATATCTTAAACTTATACATAAAAATATTTTCAATTCGCAACAAAATCGGGTCCAAAGGTGATACAACTGCTTAGGAAAGAAACTACGATGAAGAAAGCTGTCCCGGGGTTGATACGATGTTTTTTCGTAACGATTTGTCATTAAAGTTGAATCTCCAATATTTTTTTTTTGAAGTTTGCGTTCCAGGAACATTTATAACTTATTTTATTCTCGAGTTGTGAAACTTGATTTTGAAGAACCTCCTCCACTGTTGTTTGGACAGGGAACAAAAATGTTATCCCGTTGTAGTTGTTGCTGCAGATGTGCGCGAAGCCATTTCTTCCAAATAAGTACCTTACCTGAGATGGCGAGTCAATCGACCGAACCTGGCAAGAAAATTTCATATTGACACGGCGAGCCCTGAAGCATTTCTTGATCTAAATTCGTAAGATAGAATAAAATTCGAATTTCTCAAATACGTTCATCCGAAGGGACAACATTTTAAAATTCAAATAAAATTCAAAATGTTCTTTTGCTACGAACCAGTGGGCACATCGCTCTAATGCAAATTTTTTTTTTTTTCATTTAAAGTTCAAACACCCGTAGGCAAGTTGTAGCACCATCTTCATGCACTCACATCGCCCGTCATAACATGCTAGATCGCTGGCATAGCTCATCTGAAACCTTATCCCAACATGCTTTTACAACACGAAGTTTAGAAGTTGTAGGTCTTGTTAACTAACTCTAAATGATAATAATTTTCTGAACAATAACAATAATTTTCTGAATGATAATAATAATTTTCTGAACGATAATAATAATTTTCAGAATGATAATAATAATTTTCTATATTCATTGCTAACTTTATAATTTAAGAGAAGGAACAAAACATAATAATAATAATAATAATAATTGTAGTTTCTATGCTTAAAAACATAACATTTCTTAACAACCATAGCCAATAATAGTCATAATGATAATAATATTTATAATAAATGATGAAATAGAACTTCACACACACACAAACAAACACACACAAATTTTTAAACAATAATAACCAGTCAGTCGTAAAATTATTTTTCAATAAAATAAAATAAAATAGATGAAGTAACGATTATAGGAGTTCATAAACATTACACCCCACTCTAACATAAAAACCAGACACACGAAGCATCAGTTGCACCACAAAGTAAATCATCTCCAGTCAGTTTTTTTTTTCATAGATCACCCGCCTTAACAAAAAGACCAAACTTTTTTGCGGTGGTACTTTTACCCTCACTTTTCTCATTATCTTTTGTCTTTCCAGTTTCATCCCTATCTCCCTTCTTACTGGAACTTTCAGAGTCATCTTTACTCTTCTTCCTATCCTCTTTGTTATCTCTACTTTTGTTAATTTTATTGTTATCATTATTGCTAGTATCATCGTCCTGAGTGTTTTGATCTCTCTTTTTATTGCTATCTCTACTCGTCTTCCTGTGACGATGACGTTGGCCGGGAGGTCGGTGGTCTTCATCGTCGTCGTCGTCATTTTTCTTGCTGCTGCTGCTGAGGTTGTTGCCGCTGCTGCCGTTGCCACCATCGTCGTCGTTGTCGTCTTGAAAGCCGAGGCCCACGTGTTTCCTCGTGTGGCCCGAGAGCTTCATCTCCAGCCCTTGCTTGTACTGCTCCTCCAGATCTTCTGAAAGCTTCTCTGCTTCTTCCTCTGTGAGTGTGCGTATGTATGTGTGTGTGTATTTGTTTGTTGTGCCTCGTGTGTGTGTGAATATGTGTGTGTGTGTATGTGTATATGCTACGCCTATTTGCATGTGTGCATAAAAGTAATTAATAAATAAAAATAAATAAATATAAATAATGATATAATAAAGAATAAAAAAAATAAATGTTAAATAATAATAACACAAAAATCATAAACAAATAAAACAAATAATAATAATAAATAAGAAATAATTACTAACTGGATCGACCGTGCGAGGAAGTCTTCTCGCCGATGACAATTTTACCATGGTGCTCTTTCTATGCGGGGAGGTAGGTAGAAAGATTACGAATACATTAATTGTATAATTTAATATATACTTAATAAATAATTAATTTTAAAAATAATTAATTAAGATAAAAATTAAATTTATAATTAATAGATACAGGGATGAATGTAGACAGCCTTGATGATTGTGGGCCATAATTTTAGTAATAATAATATAAATAATAACATAAATAGAAATAATATCAATCTTATAATAATAATAATTATTATTATTATTATAATTATTATTATCATCATAACTGTTTGAAAAATACCTTGCTAGCACCCATCAATCGAAGAAATTTATTCTTTCTGCTGTCGTCTCCGAGGTCGACATGTTCCCAATCATTAGCCGACTTCACCTAGAAATTGTGAACAAAATTTATTTTTAACAAATTAAATTAGTGAAAGATCATTTAAAAACAATTTATTTTATTTCTGGAGATTCTACAGAAGACTAACTAAAGATGAAATAATGACAAAACTAATTATTAAAAATTAACTAAACTAATACAATTAATATTTTAATTCAAAATAAGAAAATCTAATCAAAAATTAATTTTTTTATTTGGTCCCCAAGTGACTAATTTAATAGTTTATAGTCAGTTTATACTTTATTTTTATCAAAACTAATAATAACTAATTGGAATCACCAACTAATTACTAAATTAACTAAAAACTAATGTAATACTGATGCTAAAGATAACAACTAATGCTAATAGTAATAATATTACAATTTTAATTATAATATAATATATAATAATTATATTACTAATATGACAATCTTCTCTAATATTATAATAAAATAATCCAAAATCATAATCCTAAGTAAGTCTCTAACTCTCTACTCTACTCTATTAAGAAAGTTGATCATTGCAAATGCATATGCAAACTGACCAAAGTGATTAATTTGGAACGATTAAATAAAAAAATAATATAACAAATAATTATAATGTAATATATAAATTAAAAATTAATCATCAAATTATTAATAAATTTAGAGAGAAAATTCCTAAAAAAATTAAATCATTAAAAAATTGATTTGACAACCGCATCACTGCCGGCATCAAGTTTTCGTTTCTGCGACTTCTCCTCGTCACATTTTATTTTTTTCTCGTCCCCACTCATCTTGGCACTAATCAATTTGTAGTGCTTTCGTAAAAAATCAGAACAAATTTCATAAACAAAATCGCCAAATTTATAGGCAATACCGCTCACTAGCATAGAGTATCGAACCAAAAAATAAAACCAAAGATCTTATAGTACGAGCTACGTTACTTTTGAGTTTGATAAATGATTTAAAGTTAGATTATGCATGTTTGTATGTATGTACGTATATATGTATGAAACTAGCTAAGAAACATTAACACATATAGTGGTAATTGAAACAGATAGTCGAGAAGCAAAAAGAAAATAGAAAACACGTACTGAGAAGCAAAAAATTATAAAATGAAAATGATGTCAAATAAATAATATTTTAAAATAATAAAAAAAGTAAAATGTAAAAATACTTACCGTCGTCCATTCGAAGAAGGTAGAATGTTGAATGTTTTCCGGTTCCTTCGTTGTCCTCCAAAACTGGTGCCAGTCATCTTCGAGATTGTTGTTGAAACACAGTCCGTGGAATGGAGAAAGAAAAAATTCCCATCAGAAAGCTTAGCGGTGCCTGCATCTCAAATTGCTTAATAAAAATAATCCTATCTACCTATTCAACTACCTTAACTAATCTATATTAAATTGTTAATGGTACGATAGTCGAAAGTCCCCCTTCATTCTCCCTCCTTGCACAGAGGTTCACCGACAACCAGGGCACCGGATAGTAAACCATTGCCATTTTATAATTTCACACATACATACTTGATAACATTCACACATACATAAGAACATACATAACCACATACGTGATGTTTTTGATCTGACAAAAAACACAGCAAAAGAACCGACCTTGATATATAAAAATTTTTTAATTTAATTTCATGCACACTAACACGCACACATACATACCTGCTAACTTGCTCACACACATAAACAAACACATACATTATCACGCACGTACATGATTTTTTTGATTTAGCAAAAACACATCAAAGAAACCGACCTTGACATTTGAAAAAATTTTAAATTAAACTTTTCGCGCTAATGTTGTTAATCATTATACAAAAACATATCAAATACAGCAGACCAAACCAGTCAATCAGAATTTCTTTTGTTGTCGTTGGAGGAAATGACGTCATTTTAAATATTTTGGCGTTGTATTCAGTCAGTCAGCCAGTCAGTCAGCCAACCAGTCAATCAACCAATAAACCAGCCATTTAACATTCATTCAATCAACTAATCAACTTATTAATGAACCAAATTGAATGAACCAAATGAACGAACGTATTATGGTGAAACAATAAAAAAATTATTTGCAAGGCTTGCTGAAGCGCAAATCAACATTTGATTTGATTTATTTGATTTGATCGCACGTATCTACAAACAATTTTGAGATTTTAGTAAGGAAAGAAAAACACAACAGTTGCTTTTATTTGACATCAATCAAAAATGAAAAATGGCGGAAAATTTAAATTTAAAAAATGTCAATTTAAAAATAATTCGGATTTAAAACAAACAAATGTTAACACACGTCAGTCGTAGACGAAGAATGATTCAAGTAACACGAACAATTAGTAAAAACGGTTCACAGCATATCATAATGATACCGAACAGAAATTATTTATACATGCATACAAAGAAATACAGAAAATATCAAAAAATTATGTAACCAAAATATAAAACTAGAAACCAGCCAACATTTTACAAATAAATAAATAGACACTATTAAAGATTGATCAAAAAGGTAAAATTCAAGGCTACGACGAAAAAAAGTAATGTGTTTTGTTGGTGTGGTGTTGCGATGCGAAAACAAACAAAAACATCACAAAAAACTAGTAAGAAGTCGCAAGAATAGTAGTCAGTCACCTACCTACAATTAAATTACTCTCAGGGTCCTAGCTTACCTATGATGATTAACTCAACTTACCTACCTGCCTACAAATTTGAATTTCAAATTTTACATGCATCAGCTATTTTGTTTTACATTTTTTAAAGTTTTGATTTTACTTGAAACTTTTTAACTAAAGTTAAGCCCTGGCCTACCTACGATTGTTCAACTCATCTCAATTTCTAACTTACCTATAAATTAAATTAAAGTCCGGTAAAGAGGATAGAAAGTTGAAGAGAAACATAACAACAACGACACCGAATGAATGGATGTTGTGTATGTATGTGTTGTATAGATGTGTGTGTGTGTGTAAATATGTGCGCGTACACTCTTCAGAAACTTCTTCACTCACTACGGACGAACCCCCTTGCACGGACCATCATCTGAGACGCACCGAATAGTCGTTCTCGTTAATGTTTTCTTCGAATTTCTTCGAATTTTCATCGGAACGATCATCATGAAACCACCGTCTGAAACGTGCTGACGCCCACCACAGCCCACCTCTCATCATTCTGTAGACAAAATTTTTTTAGCGTAGTCGTAAATGAATGTTAGAACGAAGGAACAAACAAATAAATTATTGAATAATTAAATAAATGAGTGAATGAATGAATTAATCAATCAAACCATGATTCAATGTAACAATATATGAATAGAATGAATTAATGAATGAACTAATGGATGAATAATTGTAAAGATTGAGTGAGAAAACGAATGAATGAGGAAAATAAAAAATCTAAACTAAACTTACTTCACAAATTGTCGTTACTGAACTCCATTGCACCGACCACCATCATCTGGTCGGCACACAAGACGTCATCCGAACTGCAGAGTTTCAGTCGAACAGCTAACGAGCTGATTCTTACACACCACCATCATGAGACCGCCATTTGAAACGTGCTGACTCCCACCACTGCCCACCTCTCATCATTCTGTAGACAAAATTTTTTTAGCGTAGTCGTAAATGAATGTTAGGACGAAAGAACAAACAAATAAATTATTGAATAAATAAATGTGTGAATGAATGAATTAATCGATCAATCAAACCATGATTCAATGTAACAATATATGAATAGAATGAATTAATGAATCAACTAATGGATGAATAATTGTAAAGATTGAGTGAGAAAATGAATGAATGAGGAAAATAAAAAATCTAAACTAAACTTACTTAACAAATTGTCGTTACTGAACTCCATTGCACCGACCACCATAATCTGGTCGGCACACAAGACGTCATCCGAACTGCAGAGTTTCAGTCGAACAGCCAACGAGCTGATTCTTCCTCACCACCATCATGAGACCACCATCTGAAACGTGCTGACTCCCACCACTGCCCACCTCTCATCATTCTGTAGACAAATTTTTTGTTATTAGCGTAGTATAAATGAATTTTAGAATCTTAGAAGCAAAAAATTACAAAATAAAAATAATAGCAAACAATATAAAATAATAGGGCAAACTGTAAAAAAAAACTTACCGTGCCTTCCGGTTCCTCCTACGTTGTCCTCCAAAACTGGTGCCAGTCCTCCTCCAGATTGTTGTTGATAGAGAAAGATAAAGAGAAGATTCTCATCAGAAAGCTTAGCGGTGCCTGCATCTCAAATTGCTTAATAAAAATAATCCTATCTACCTATTGAATTACCTTAACTAATCTATATTAAATTGTTAATGGTACGATAGTCAAAAGTCCCCCTTCATTCTCCCTCCTTGCACAGAGGTTCACTGACAGCCAGGGCACCGGATAGTAAACCATTGCCGTGCGGATAGTAGACTACTGCCTTGCGGATAGTAAACCATTTGCCGTCCGGAAGCCGTGCGGGTAGTAGACTATGGCCGTGCCGCATAGTAAATCATTACCGTGCAGATAGTAAACCATTGCCGTCCGGGTAGTAAACCATTGCCGGTTCACCACTGGCCACCAAGGCTTACCTCTGACAAGAGACTTTGAAATCCAGAGTCAATCGGCTATCGTACCCTCAACTTACCTATTCATTACAATTAAGCCCTAGCTTACCTAAAATTACAAAACTCAAGAGCCCAATTCATTGGCCTTTCGGCACCCACCCCACCACCTACGTAATGCCTTGGGCTCCAACTTAGTAATAATATTATAAAACTTAAACGCTAAATCTACTAATGAGTATGTGTTACAACGTAGCCTTAACTTACCTATTCATTACATTACGGTCCTAGCTTACCTAAAATTACAAAACTCAAGAGCCCAATTCATTGGCCTTTCGGCACCCACCCCACCACCTACGTAATGCCTTGGGCTCCAACTTAGTAATAATAATAATATAAAACTTAATATTTAACCTACCTATCGATATACTTACAGCGTTTTAATTTACATTACAAGATTGTTCCTAGAATTACATTATTGCCCTTAACTACCTATGAAATTAAATTACTCTCAACCTTAGTAATAATAAATTAGAATGTGTAATGAAAATAAAATTACGCTCAAATACTAACATATGTGTTTATGTATGTATTTGTGTGTGTATGTAATACGCTGATGCGTGCAATGTGGGTGTAAGAAAAAAAT